GGGGGGGGGGGGAGACGATATAGATAGACGGGAGGGGATGTGAGCAGGCACGCTCCGTCGAAGCGCTCTATAGTAAAATCAACGGCGTCTCGGGGTGGTGTTGGTGTTGGTGCACGCTGAGACGGCAAATATATTGGGAGAAGCAGAGAGAGGAAGAGACTCGTTGAGGAGGAGAGGAGGAGGAGGAGGGTAGCTGGAGGAGCACGAAGTATTTTTTGCACTTGAAGACTTGCCCTGGCCTGGCACCTGGCACCTGGGCGACGAAGCTTTCAATCACCTACCCATAGGTAGGAAGGGAAGCTGCAAGGCCGAAGCACCGGGAGGCTAAAAGCGGCACGACCTCGACCAGGGTACGCTGACTGAGGTAATGCTCGACAACTTTTGCTGGGTGAAGGTGAGGGTGAAGGTGAGGGTGAAGCTGGCGCTGCTGCTGCCGCTGATGCTGGCTGCACAACAGCGACTCTTTCCAGGAAGGCCTCTCACAGGCCGCTCACAGGCCGCTCACAGCCATGCTAAACTGTGCCTAGCAAGTGCTAGCGAGGATTGGGACTACGGACTACGGAGTAATGGGCGCGCTGGCATAAGGGTGAAGGGTGAAGGGCAGATACTGCATTCTGAGTCTGCAGAGACCCTGGAATCAGGAAAGAGCCCTTGCGCTGTTCGTAATTCACCGAATTTGTTGCGCTGCAGGCTGTGTACTCGTAGCGCACTCTGGCGCCGGCGTGGTTGGTACTCGTACGGAGACTTGGGCACTTGGAGTCTTGGAGTGGTCTACGAGTACGCGAATGAGAGAGTCAAGTCAGGATTCAAGATTCAAGCATGGACGGGGGTGATGTGATGTGATGTGAATCTGTTTCTGAAAGAGTCGCATGGGGATCCGAGTTGAGGTCTTCTAGTGGTGGTGCTGCTGGTGCTGGCTGTAGGTGCCGAGTCCACTCTGAGTAGAGTGGATTTCGCTGTGGAGTGGACGGCGACAGCTATCAACCTCGCGCGTAGCTGATGGCCAGCCAAACATCACATCACCTCACTGCTTCCCGACCTCATCCATTCACACTCACCATTGATGCCAATTCCATTATTGGGACCAAGTGCCAAAATATGACTCCGTATTGCTGCTACTGCTATTAGGTAACCGCTGCGAAAAGAAGCCCCAGGGGAAGGAAGTCAAGGGACGATCATCCCTTTGAAGTTTGGACCATCTGGCGGACTTGGTCGGAGTGTGCAAGTGCCATCCAGGGAGCTCTTCAAAAGGTCAACTCCTCGCGGTGCTCGGAAACAATTCCTCTTCATCCGCCCTGGCGTTGGCTGGTGTCACTTGGAAGTACTGAGTACTTAGTAGACGGTTGCCGAAAAGCCACAGTCATGGGAGGGATGGGGATGGAGATGGGGATGGGGGTACGCTGGTGCAGAGTTCAGATCTCATCGTCTTCTCTCGACGTCGTCTATCTTGGTAGCCAGTGTCATCGTAGCACAACTCCCCCACGTCCACCGTTCTACTTCTACCAGTTCATCGACAAGCTCGAGCCTTTAAATTGCACTTCCATTGACTTCATCTCGGAGACAACCTGCATCAACGCCTGAATATTCCATCACCGCTAAAATACCATCACACGCGACAGGTACAGGTACCGACGGTCTTTATTCGGTGGCTCATCTATTATTGCAACGGTAACGGCGTGAACGGCACTCTTCGCTAGTAGATTGACCTGCTCGCAGCAAGTGCTAGATTTGTACGAAGACGGAGAAAATCCTCATCTGCCGCCGTCAATGCCAGAGGAAAAGTTCCAGAAGAGCAGGTTGCATACGGTACTACTCGAGTACTACTACGGGTACAGCAAGCAGACCTTGCCTTGCCTTGCCTGCTTGCTAGCTACGAGTACCGGCGATTCAACACCTTCACGGGACTTGGTCAATTGGTGCCTTCGCGAAACCAACGTCTGCGTCTGAGACGTCACCACGTTCATCAACTTCTTTCTGGAAGTTGAGGGGTTCTTTGACGTGGTACAACGGCTGTGACTGGATGGGCGAAGTACCGCCGTACCTTACCCTATCTCTCATGTACGTACCGACACGTACCGCCACCACCTGTCAATACTTCCAAGTACCTCTGCCCCTATTCAGAGGTCGAAAAGGGCTCATGCGTAAGGAAACACGCTAGCAAGCTCGTCGAATGATCGAACAACGCATTCCACATTCCAAAACACGTTCAACGTGGATGATTTGCCCCTGATGAAGGAAAATCGACATGCCAAGACTGATATTGAGCAGAATTGAAACCAAGAAAGCCCGTATATCCGGAGTCACCAGGACCGGAATCGATCTTGTTGCTTGACAGCCAAGCAGGCTAGCAATGGCAGGAACTCGGATGGATGGTTTGCTTCGTGACCGCCACCCAAGAATTTTCCGGGCAGGTCTTTGGCCTCCAAGGGACTGGATGGCACTTTCGAGGTCTGACGGTCTGACCTTCGTCCTTTGTACGAGTAGTGTTGTACTGTAGGATTGCACCACATCACCGCACATTGGATGACCAGATCAGGTCACCTGATGAATCACTCCACCGCCTGCAACGGTTTGGATCTCGGGAGCAGTTTACCGCCAGTTCCAATCATTACGGGACGCGTGCTGCAAGAAGGAGAGGGAAGCCCCATATCTCGAGGAAACATTCTTGTCGGGCAGGGAAGAGGCGGCCATCACATCCAATGCCAGCAACAGAACAAGCATCGCAGGCACGGTGCTGCACGGTGATGGCAGCAAGAGAAACGGCTCCGGCTCCAGCGCCGCTTTCAGGTCCCAATGACGCATGGCCACCTGGGTACGGAGCCCTGACCCTGAGTCCTGAGCCTGTTCGGATTTTTGGACGATTTTTGGCCCCCTTGGACCTTGGTTGATCCTGGTGAAGCCCTAGTGCGGAGCCTAACCGGCAAGTCTGCCGAGTAGAAGGTGAGAACTCTGATTCTCAGAACGTCCAAGTTGAAACCCTGATGGGCTGGCTCGTGGGCTTGGGGTCAGCGTCTTTGTGATTTTTATTTTTATTTTTACGAAGTATTTTATTTTTACACAGGTGTTGTTCGCGGGACTTTTCCAGCGTCGGCCCGTCACCGCGTGGTGAAGTGGTGAACTGGTGCACCGTATTTGATTTCGGGATTCTGAACTTTGAATCGGCCATCTTGCTGGGACATGACACAAGAGCAGTCTGGTGATGATTGATTGATGGTGCTCGAGTCATCTCATTGCTGCTGCCATGCTCAACAGTTCGCCAAAGGATAAAATGGTGAGTGAGCACCTTTAAGTACCGGGAGAACAGGAACAGGAGTATTCCCGTGTGGCTGACTGCAGCTTACTCTTACTTTGTACTTCAATCACCCCGGCCAAGGGTCCTGAAGAGGGGCCAGGGACCCGTGAGGGCTCCTCTGCCCATTCTGCAAATGGAAGCCACCACTGATCAATCCATCACCGGGAACCAGCTGCAGAGAACGCCACAGATGACACTGACAGGACAGGACAGGCCAGTATTTGACCAGTATTCGACCAGTATTTCTACGAGAGTTTTGCACCACGATCCGCCCTGTTGAAGTTGTGCTGCGTTGATCATGTGCTGTGAAGCCTTCAAGCTGCTCAGAGAGAGGTATCCATCCTTCCGAGCCTGTAGAAACCCACGCGGGGTTACTCCAACGCTTGTGCGCTTGTACGCTTGCCACTAGTCCTCCCTCTTACGGAAAGGTATATTATCTATGTATATGCAGGAGCCACTTGCACTTGCACTTGCACTTGCACTTGCACTTGCGCTTGCGCCAGAGCTTTGCTACTTCGTATGTCTTTCCAAGAATTGCACTTTGGACGGTGCTGTAGGTACGGAGATACTCCGTCCTCGAATGCTCGTTCTTGCTTGCTGGCATCGCCTCCAATCCTCGACTTGCCTTCAATATCAAAATCTCGTCTTGACTCTTGCTGGCAGGCCTGGCCCTAGTCTGAGTTTCGACCGTCACACATCTACTCCGTACCGGACTTTCTCCGCCGCCAGCCAGCCAGCACTCACCGCACCGCAAATGTTGGGTGCTTTTTCCGTTCAGCAAGTCTACGCGCTACTGCCCTTTCCAGCACAAGTCCGCATGCGCCACGCATCGTCCCTGTTCAATGAGTCGTGGTCCATCCATTGATTCGCGAAGCGCTGCTTTTGCCTTCTCATCACGGTCATCACGGACATTTCGGTCGATGTGACGATCGACTAACGTCAGGTTAAACGAAACTCATCAAGATGAGATGGCATACTGATTCAGGAATTCTCTCCGTCCCCAGAACGCAACGCGTCCGCCAAATAAACAACATCCCAAAGCGTCGTTCGCGACTGGTCTCCGCTTGCCTCTCCATGATTGTTGGCTCCTCTCAAATCTCATCGTCCACTTTTCGACGATCATTCAGGGCGATCAGCAATTGAAGCATCGAAAGCCTCGTCGGGGACCACCAAGGGACTTTCCATGTCTCCATCGACCCTCCCATCCATCGCGGGTAAAACCTGCCAAGGTCTGGGGTCTTTTCTGTGGCTCTCCTTAATCTGGACTACATCGCTCGCCATGGGCTGAAGATGAGCCTGAATCACGCAGAACTCAGCGAGATGATTGGTTGCGATTGGTCGGTTTGGAAAACTTCCTCTACCGCCTTTAACCTGTCACCAACGGAGTAATTTGAAGCCTAAAAAAAGAAGGCAAAAACAAGAACGAAACCAGAACCTGTCAACTTGTCATCGCAACTCAAAGACCCACTACCTGTCACTTGAACTGACTTTTGAACCTTAAACTTGAGCTCAAGTCTCATGGAACAACGTGCTCCCACCAACCACGAGGCGGTTGACCCTAAACAGCAGCATGAACACGGTCGATACTCAAAACAAGATTTTGCAGGGATGGTGAAAGGTTGAAGCTGGCCTGTTGCTGGCATCGCATCATAAACGGGCACTGTCAATTTATTTGGTAGGCGCGCCATTTCCGCTGCTTTTGGTCATTTCTTTCTTCTCCTTGTCCCTTCCTCGTACCTTCAGGGCGCAGTTCTTCCCGAAGAGAGGCAGAGGCATGGTTTCTGGTGCTGCTTTGAAGGCGAAGGGATGAATGGCTCTCTGACCCTAGCCCTGTCAACCGCTTACGAGTCATGTATGTGAAAAATCCGTGCGAGGAACCTTCATGCTGGAAAAGTGGGTGAGTGGGCTAATTGTGACGGTTTGGAGATACCGGTACGTAGTAGCAAACATCCACACGCGTTATGATGCAAGAGGCTTGGTGTTGATGGTGGGATATATCTGTTGAAGTATCCTCGACGGCGCACGAATTTTGGGGTTGTGTATTCCCTCTCCTTTGATTTACCAGATGATAATTGATGACTTGGAGTCATAGATGGAGAAGTCTCCCTCTCTCTCTTGTTTTTCTTTCTTCTTGTTATCTTCCCCCCCACGTCACACGAGCAAAAGAGTCAGGGATACGATGCTTGTGAGAGGTTATTTGTGTTCACGCACTTCAGCTGTGCGGACATTTTTTTGACTTGACTTTTTGCGAACCGAGCTCGTTCTCGCGCGAGGGCGGAATTCCGGAACTGGGAAATGGTTCAATTATTGATTCTTCATGCCATTGATTTTTTTTTGGCCTCCTTTTTGGCTTCTTTGGAGATCTTCTCTTTTTTTGAAAAAGCCGAAAGAAACGCCGCTGAACTTGTTCTTGCAGATGGGTTTGGGTTGTATCAGATTGGTTTTTCTTCGGGATTCACGGCTGGTAGGTGGGTGAAACGGGACGTGATGTGATGGGATGGGATGGGTTCGTTTCGTGTTGTTGGTCACGCGCGGATGGAATTTATTTTTGGTAGTTTTTTTTTTTCTTGCTTTCTTTCTCTGAGTTATATGGGGGTTTCTTTTGGCACTGTATTCTTTCCGGGGTGTTTTTCTGGGGGTAGGTTGCTGTTGATACGCTTTCGCATACCATTTTTCACCAAAATCATCTTTCTTCTTGCCTATTCCTTTCTCCTACTTTCGTCCCCAGCGAAAATGTAGGGGGTTTCGAGGGGTTTTTTTACCCTGTTCCCAACCTCAGCCACACCCCCCTAGAAAACCTACATTTTATTTTACTCTAGGTCGAAGTATTTTCTTCTTCTACACCAAATGAAAGGAAAGGAAACGTAATCCAAAATCACGGATTCACTCATCCCCAATCTCTGAATCTCCAATCTCGGAAAACGAGAGAGGGAGAGCTCTTTTAGTCCCAAGCGAGCTAAGATGTTCCTTTACTATACAAGGTGAATTTCAGTAAGAAGAAGGGCTCTATTAACATGTTGATCGGGATACTCGGTTAGCCTTTGTATATCATGTGAATGACTGACTGACTACCCTCTTTTTTTTTTCTTTTTTTGTTTTTTGTTGATCTATTTATCTACCCTTTCCTCTCTCCTCTCTCTCTCTCTCTCTTCCCTATTTTGTTTCTTCTANCCCTCTTTTTTTTTTCTTTTTTTGTTTTTTGTTGATCTATTTATCTACCCTTTCCTCTCTCCTCTCTCTCTCTCTCTCTTCCCTATTTTGTTTCTTCTATAGTTTCTTTCTTTCTTTCTAGAGCTTTCTGAAAGGTTTTGAGAAGAAATATGGGGCTTTTGGGGAGGGGGAGGGGGAGGNTAGATAGGATGGAACGGAAGGGAATTAAAGGGATTGGAATGGGGGGTTTTGGGGGGGGTATAGTAGATTGATGTTGTGGTTAGGTGTAGGTATTTATGGGTTTAATTAATTGATAGATAGATAGATTGATAAATGGGAAGTAATTATTATGGATTACTTTAAATGAAAATGAATCCCTTCTTTGCTTCCTCTTTTCTTTCTCTTTTTCCTATAAGGAAGTAGAGGATAAAAGATAGCTACTCTAGTCTCCCTCCTAGAGTCGTACAAGGATTTTCTCCTCATACCTCCTATATTATACCTCATACCTCGCAAATCGTTAGAGATTTTTATATTCTCTATTATTACCTATTATCACCTACAAGTATATCAAATAACCACCTATCGTGAGTAGAAAGTGGAAAGTAGAAAGTAGAAGGAATAAATGTACTCGCGATCAACTTAAGTTCTTAAAATAAATGGGAAATGGATAAATGTTCATTTTGTTTGTTTGTTTGTTATTTAAGTACTATTTAGTCTTTGGGTCTTTGAGTCTTTAGGTCTTTGGTTTGAAGTAGAGGTGTTTAATTAGTTAGGAAAGAGGACAAGAGGAAAAGAGGAAAAGAGGATTTGTTGTTGTAAGTTAAGGAAGGGTTGAGGTATGGGCTGAGGGGGGATTAAGGGGGGATTAGATTAGGGGTTAGGGGAATGGAGGGAGCGTTTAGGGGAATGGAGAGGGGGGTAGGTGTGTGGACGATATAGAGGAGATGAGCAAAGGGGTATAGGGATAGATTCTTAACGATAGATTATCAGAGAGAGAGAGGGAGAGAGAGGCGTGTATCACTCTACACTCCTAGGTTACAAAAATATCATCTAAAGACCTTGTATAACTAAATCATTCATACAATCCATAAATTACTGTATACAATTCACAATTCTTATAAATACCTATAATTCAAACAACTAATACCTTTCACTTACTCACTCCTCATTCATCCCTTATAGTACCTATTAACCTAGATAAAACACAATCTCAGTATAAGAATCCTAGAAGATCGGAGGGACGAGGAATAAATCTCTGTCGAGGCTCTAGTATATTACTAGATTGTGTGATATGGGATAATTGATGTACTTGTGTTGGACTTTTGGTATGGTTTTGGTATAGTGGCTTTTTGAAGTTTTGAAGTTTTGATGGCGTGGTAGAGGAATGGATAGGGGATAGAGGGATGGATAGAGGAATGGATAGAGGAATGGATAGAGGAATGGATAGATGGATTGATAAAGGGATGGATAAAGGGATGGATAAAGGGATGGATAAAGGGATGGATAAAGGGATGGATACTAGTGTTGTATGTTGTATGTTGTATGTTGTATGTTGTATGTTGTATGTTGTGTGTAGTTCTGATAGGTGATAGTTGAGGGGTTTGGAGAGATTCGGTTGGGAAAGGGATGGGAAAGGGAAAGGGGGTGGTTTTGTATTTCGGAGGGGAGGGGAGGGGAGGGATGAGATTGCTTCTGAGTCAAATGAAACTTTGAAGGGGGGAGTTGGAGCCAATGGAGGGGTATTTCGCGGGTGTGATTTTTTCTCTTGCGACGAGAAAGGAAGACGAGTGATAAACAGCTAGGCTAGTATAATATATAATTTATTTCCGTTTAATAGAGTAGGTCTTACGTCAACAAATTCTTTCCTATAAACTTGAGTTTTGGACGGATAGGGCTTAGCCTTTATATTAAGAAGATAAATTGTTCGAGGGAGATGTTGTTTGGTATTTCGTTATAGTGAGGTTCTTCCACCGTTTTGTTATGGGGTAATATATTTGCTGAGAAGCTTTAGTTGAGGGTTGAGATTGAGATAGAGATACTGTATCTTGCGAAAAGTTGGAAAGTCTACGTGGGGAAATTGGAGAGGTTAGTTTGGTAAAGTAAGATTTGGATGGGATATGGGATGATGGGATAATGGTTTGTCTCGGCGGAGGTGGGGAGGAGGTTGTGAATTGTAGGATGTAGATGTTGATACTGATGTTGATAAGCGGGATTTTTGATAGGGAGATCTGAAATTATAGATTCTTTGGAGGTGGGAGAATCTACTGACTGGTCTTTGAGCGAAGGTGATATATATACGGGAGGATATTTGATCAGATTCCGACCGAGAATTTAAGATGCTCTTATTACGTTATTAGAAGTCTGGGTTAGAAATTAAAATCCTTGGAATTGGTAAATTTATAAACTCTTCGAACTCTTCGCGTACCTTTTGACTTGTAGATGTACTATAGCACGAGCGTACCTTTCCTTTTACCAGAGCTACAGTACGTAGCAACAAATATCTTTCTGTTTCGTGCTCGCTTGATGGATAGGAATCTAGGATGGATTGTTACTGTGTGTAAATCGTGTTTTTCATTACCAACCAATTGGACTTGAGATGATTCTCAGCGCAGTCACGGGTCCTTTTCGTCTTTTAGATCTGTTATAGATCTGAGAAAGGGGTCGGTGTTCTCTGCTATTGTTGATTTGGTTTCGCTTGGAAATAGCGTGAGAGTGCTGGTTGAAACTTGAAAGGTATTATCGTGAGTCATTTTGTGAGTTGGACGTTAATTCCATCCTGGAATGCTGATGAGGTGGTGAAATGCGTGAGGGTTGTAGCATCTAATTTTTGCCGTTATCTGTTCTTGGATATTAATCCATTAGTTGCGTAAACCAATCCAGTGTTATAGTTTATATTCTAAGGCGAAGAAAAACCATCGATCGTTCTAATGCTTGGACTTGTAGTAAGGCTTCTACACCAACCAAAGTCCTCGTGTTTCATACCTTGATAAATAAATTACTTGAATAACAGCATTAGGTTTATAGAGGATGATTTTATATCACGTGAGGACTACCGACCTACCTCATGAGCTAGCGGCGGGGCAGGAACCTTCAACAACTTTACATATACTGCCCTTAAAGCAGGATATGTACGCTAAAGCCCTAGGGATCTCTTTTTTCTCGCTACTTCGCTTCTCCTACTTCTATTCAATTCGTTCTAATCGATTAGCTCTCTTACCTAGCTTAGTGCTCTAGTTCCAACGAAAGTGTCAATTGCTCACCTGCGTTTACTCATAGGAGCGATACGATTCTCTTATACAATACGATTTTAAGGCACAATACCCCTCCTAACCTAAGTAAAGCTCCTCGTACTCCTACTCGCATAAGTCCAGAGGAAACGCAACGTAACCTTATCACTACAATTCAATATACGATAGTACAGGGGGTAGCATGCTAGTCTAGGGGGGACGGAGGAGAGCAAGCAATTCGCGAATTCCGAATCCCAATTCAATGACTTCGAACTTTCGATATCTACGACTTTGCTAGGCAAGGTGGGCTCTCCTAGTATAGTTTTTGTCTACAGGGGTTTCCCATGCTCGTTATACGAATTTGGGGAGGAGGATATATTTGTAGGGCAGGCGGTGGATATCCACTACACTTTCCACCCCGCCACCCACACCCACACATATATGGACCAGCACTCGCCTTGCGGAGCCGCTTACTCACCTCTCACCTACTCTCGTTCACTCGCGGCTCTGCAGGGGTCTTACTAGCACCCTGGGGCTCTCCAAACTCCAGGTGCTGGTCCTACATATGTGCACCCCCTTTTCCCGTGAGTAAGACGAACGTGAATATAAAAATAGTATTGACATTTACTAAGTTCCCATCTCAGAGCTTACTGGGAAGAAAGCTTCACTCGTGGTAAAACTTCGTATGAGTGACTTTATCAACTCCTGGGGTCGGAGATAAGTAGGTGAATGGGCTCGTCATTGTGGAAAAGCTTGAGGTGATGACAAGGGAGATGATTGTGACCTGTTTGTAGTTGTGGGAAATGGATAAGCCTGAGCGTGAGGCTTTGGTACCAAATGCAAATGAGAGTATCTCGGGATGTTTGGAGAGATAGGGAGTTATAGTGAAGCACCCCTTCCACCCAAAAGGAAGTCATCGTGGCTTGTCTCGCTTAATTTCGCGTGTTGGTGTTACCACCCTCGATGACCAGCCACTGCTGTGGCTTTTCTGCAGGCTCGATTAACCAAATATTTGGTTTTGATATACAGTGTATGAGAAAATCCCTCTCATTGCATGAAGATGTCCGATAAGAGCTTACGGAAGAACAAACGAAAGCTACATAGGGTGGTCACCTTGTCTCGTTGCTGCGTTTCGATTTTTAAGTTAGCGATTCCCTCATGCATGCCCGGATCCTGTTTTATTCGTGGTTGGAATAGAATTTGAAGGCTTCAAAGTGACCATTTTGTTCATTGTAATTGCTAGAGAGCAGGTTTTCAAATGCTGCATGCGGATTATGAAATTTCATTTATTCGACTTAATTGCTTCCATGGTTTAGGAAAATTTGATTTATAACCACTGCATCATGCGTTATCTTAGTTTCTAGGTGATTGAGGAAGGGGGTTGAGTAAATAGCTTTATTGATGTGGAAGAATAGTTGTAAGTGTGGTTGTGTCTCATTTTGCGTCCAGAGGTACTTTGGTATCGGATTCTATCGTAATACAATTGTTTGCAATAAGAAGAATAATAGTTGAACCACAATACAAGTATTCTATTCTCTTTTTCCACTTACCAGATCAATTAATTGGCTTGGGCTGTTCAACATAATCTACATGCTTGTGGTCGTACGCGGAGCAATGACTAAAGCTCCCACAGACCAATATATCACTTTTATCTAAACTTACCAAAAAGTAGATTGAGGCCTGATTATTGAGTTTTGGAGACCAGGAGCCGGTTAAAAGCGGATGCCATGGTGTTAACCAGGTCCGCATCAATTACCAGTTCACACGTTTTCTCTTTACTTTGCATAAAAAGAAGGATCGACAGACGACGGTGATAGATCAAAAAACCCAGAAAAACCTCAGCCTGATCCGTGAGCTAACTCTTATCAAGATCGAACGATTGAAAAGAGAGAGAGATAAAAGTTCTGTCTGTAACAATAGTATGATGGGCGGTTGCATTGGGCTCCAATTCCCCACCTACCTCTTATCGTTGATATACGCATACGAGTACCGATATGCAATATGAAAGCACAATTATACATATGCGAGGGCGGGCGGGTAATACGGAATGCCGGCCACAGTTTTGATAGAGGGTTGTATTGGAGTGGATTCCATCGCCGAAGAAGAATTGTGGACTCCATGTGGAGGAGGGAAGATGAACGGGGGTAAACAGGGATAATATATCCTGAAAGAATCACAGCGAATCCACCTTTTCTTGAGATACCATTGAAACTTTTTCCTCGCATGTGTCTGTGGGTCATGAGATATGGAGGGGTCATGAAGCAAATGGGATAGTAAATCCGATGTTGCACAGATGGAGGGGCAAGTAAAAACGCCACGAAACGCCTCCAGAAACTCACCGCCCAATGACGATCCCCTCTCCGTTAACGGCGAGGCATCATGCAAGCGATTTTCGGTTATTTTTCTTATCAATCCCAGGGATGAAAAGGAGGGCTGGGCTGGATGATTTAATGATAGACGATATCGATTGTTTTCATTCGATGAACAAGATAAATCGTCATTGCAGATGGAAACGTCTGACTTTCAGTTGATGGAACTGTGACTGAAAATCATTGTCGCACGTCCCAGTTCGCGAGGTGGGAGGGAGACCCTGACTTGGGAAATTCGGTGCAGGAACTTGGGCACATCCGCGTGATGAGATTGACGAAGGGAGGAGTCGTGCTTCGATCACCCGCGACAGTCCACTTGATGAGCCCAAAAGCGGTGAACAGGAGCACCTTCTGGGAGGTTTCTCGAATGTACGAGTAGCGAGGTGGAGTATGATTGCATGCGAAGCGACTATCGAGGTCGCGAGGAGCATCTAGGCCCGTTGTTACCCGTCGTTCGGACCTATCGGAAGGATTGGCTAAAGCTACTTGATTGCATCTGCTGGCGTTGTACAGAAGTCTATCTGCGCCACTTGTTGATAATGCCTCGTCTGACCAATGAGTCGCTGTCGCATTGTATTTGCTGTCTACTCACTGCGAGGGTCGCTGTTGAGCCGCCCCCAGTCCAAAGTCAAACATTTCAATCGCCTAAATCGGCGCATTCTGCCAAACTATGCAGCGACAGCGTCGTATCTGTCTGTTTTGAGCTTCCTCTCTAAAACCTGCTCACAGCAAGCCTCCGAACCCCATACCCTGGAGGAGCTACTACGCTAGAACCGCCATTAATTGCTCCTGCAGCTTGCGGAGGTAGCTTCTGCAGAGCACAGGCAAAATCCTATTAAACATCACCCTCTCCATCAATCTGCGCTGCAGGTGTAGCCAGACCGGTCTGAAGCTTTAAAGTTCGCTTGCCCCTCCTTCTACAACCTTCTGCCTCTCCCAACAGACCCACAACAACAACCTATATTTTGGTCTTATCATCCCACTACCCTCCTCTCTCTTAATCTCCAAATTTCTTCTCTTCTTCCTCCATCTCCTAAAGAATCAGGATCCCAGTCCTGCTTCTCAGTGTTTTTTTGCTTGCAGTTGTACAAGTGCAGATCTTCACTCCCACATTCCACAAGTCCGCCCTCTTGATTTTCGTCTTGTTCTCCAAACGGAACTCCCGACCACCGAATTTAATTGAACGTGTGGATTGAAAAGAAAATCTGTTGGCCACTTAATTTGTGAATTCTTGAAACAATACCAAAAACCTGCCACAGATTTTCGTCTTTTCAATTCCGAGCCGTAAGAGTCAAGCCAGGCCAAAAAGCAATGTATCTAACCAATCAGAGACAAATTCGAGACCCAGAGAAGTTTCCTACAGTCCAATTGTTCCTACTTGGTAAGTCTTCCATTCCACGGCACATACTTTCGAGTCTCGGAATAACCCAACTAACTGCTTTCCCAGCCATCGTTCGTCTTGCCGAACCAATTGCCCTCACTTCCATCTTTCCATATGCCTGGCCTCTGGTTAAGAAATTCAACGTCGGCGATGAGACTGATGCCTCATTCTATGCGGGACTTCTTATTTCTGCATTTGCCCTATCCGAGTCCCTGACTGGGATGTTCTGGGGAGGATTATCCGACCGCATAGGACGAAAACCAGTATTGCTAGCTGGGTGCTTTGGCACCATGATTAGTATGGTACTGGTAGGATTTGCTTCCAACATATGGGTTGCATTAGCAGGAAGGGCATTGGGGGGTATTTTGGTAAGCTTCTCAAAGCAGCTTTGTCATTTTTGACCGGCTGCTAACCAACGCAGAACGGAAATATAGGCGTGATCCAAACTATGGTGGGTGAACTTGTCACCAAGCCAGAACACGAACCTCGAGCATATAGCATTATGCCATTTGTTTGGTCAATCGGAACAATAATTGGTCCCGCGATTGGTGGTTTTTTTGCCGACCCCTCAAATTCATTCCCCGAAAGTTTCTCTCCGGATGGAATCTTCGGAAGATTTCCATACCTGTTGCCAAATCTCATCTGCTCCGGGATGCTTTTAGTAAGCATAATTCTGGGCTACTTTCTTCTCCAAGAAACACACCCAGATATGCAACCACGAGTTTTGTTGCAGGATTCAACCTACACCTCTGATGAAACCCCCCTCATTGCAACCGCAGACGCAATCAAGACACCGGCAGTCGATCTGCGAGCGGATCGATATGGGACATTTGAAGGCAGCGACGATAGCATTTGGCGAAATTCCCAATTGAAAGAGAAGCCAGTAAAGATATTCTCAAAACAGATAATAACCTTGATTGTTGCCTTGGGAATATTTACCTACCACACCATGTCCTACGACCACCTTCTTCCCATCTTCCTCGAGGACAAAAGAGGAGAAACCCTTTCCTCTCTATCGTCTTTCTCAGCATCTGCGATGGATATCGACCCAATTTTATCCGGGGGATTGGGACTCAGCGTCCAAGAAGTCGGTGTGATCATGAGCATCAACGGCATCATAGCTCTCTTCGTGCAAGCTGTCATCTTCCCTCTTGCGGCCGAGAAGCTAGGAATCTACCACCTTTTCATCGCCGTCACGATTCTTCACCCAATCGCGTATCTCATTATGCCATGTCTAAGCTATCTACCATCCTCCATGGTCATGGTTGGAATCTACTTCTGCCTCACGATTCGAAACTTGCTATCTATCCTCGCTTACCCCGTCCTCCTCATCATGATTAAAGAAGCTACACCCACCCCCACAGTTTTAGGGAAGATAAACGGCCTAGCAGCTTCAGCAGGTGCGGCTTGTAGAACCGTGGCTCCACCCATCTCTGGATACCTATACACGCTCGGCTCAAGATTTGAATGCAATGGTTTGGCGTGGTATGGAAGTGCGTTTGTGGCGCTTATTGGTGCTATACAATGTTTCTCCATCAAGCGGACGAAGAAAGCGGAAGAATTTGCGGAGATCTTTGATCCGAAGAAGGTCTTGGTCACCGTTACCGAGACTAGTTCTTTGCTTTCGGTGTAAGGAGAGAAATCTCTTGATGTTTTTGGTTTCTGACATTTTCAAGGGCGCTGATGGTGATGGGCATTCAAAAATGGCGTTTGTGAAAGCGATTTAGCGAGCGTGTTGTCTTTTCTTTGCGTTTGGTTTCTGTTACAATATTCACGTGATATCCAGGGCTATATATACGCCTGGATTCCACGTAGCAGACACAATCAATCATCTACTACTGCTACTTTTGTACCTTTATTATACTCGTTGTCGTACTTTTGTTACTGTTTCGTACCTATAATAGTATCTCCTAAATACCCTTATTATCCTACCAAGTTATACTAACACTGATCAGTGTTTTACAGATCAATCAATTAACTTGGTTTAGGAACACTTATTAGTATATTCAGTTCCTGCCCGACTTACACGCCTCTACTATTAGGTAGATGCCCTTGGACAGGACATGAAGACTACCGCAAGTTCAGGTATTGTACGATAATCGTCTATACAATCGTCGCCCGTTAATTCGACCTCTTGATTAAGCTATTTGAGTCGATAATTAGTTACCCTTATCTGCTAACTTATTTAACGACAAGACACGTAAAATCAATAACAATCCTACTTTCCGGAGCGTACGGATACCTACGGAACACCTAAGGGAACCCCCCCCTCCCTGCGATCCGACACCCTTATTCGAAGAGTAATACGATAATCGAGCACCTTCCTCTTCGATAGAGACCCTTACAAAATCACCTTGCAACAGAGCCTCGAAACCACGTATTTGTACCACACGAAATCACCTTATAAAAGAGCCTTTTTCAGACGCCATTTGACGGTATACGGAATAAGCCTTCGGTAGCATTATAACATATTGCCAAGACTCCTATCGGCTGGCCCGAAGCGACTCAACACGGTACCGATACTTCGAAAGTTTGGCGGAATCAATATTGCAAATCACGCAATGTCAATTCTAATAGACTTTAACTTATTAATATCAAAAACTACTCCTTCAAACGCCTTGTAATTGTCCCAACAAGGCCTTGTCTCGCGGATCGAACAGAGACAGACCCCGTCCCTCCCCTTCTGCCTAGTACACTAGATACCCCCTAAGGGCACATACCAGACCCCCCCTGCGGCACATACTACAACGACAGATCCCCCTGCCGACCTGAACACAAAGAAGCCTTGCGAGGGTTATACTTCGCCTAGCAGACTCGCCAAATATCCGCCCCCCCTTTTAGTCGGACGCGATTAGTGAAGGACAAGCGAGGGACTGATGGAATAGATGGACAGAGCACTGTGATTGGTCAGCTGGATAGACAGTATGTGGACAGGCAGACTGGATTAGCTAAACAGGACGGACGGCATTTCCTCTTTTGTAACTAGTAGTTATTACTTTACAACTTCTCTCTTAGTTATACTAGTGTTACAATATATTCACGTGATTATTCACGTAATATCCAGGGCTATATATACGCCTAGGTTCTACGTAGTAGACACACAATTAATCATCTACTACTACTACTACTACTTTTGTATCTCTGTTATACTCGTCGTCGTGCTTTTGTTACTGTTTCGTACCTATAATGGCGTCTCTGTAAGGGTGCGATAGCGACAAGGTCAACTGTATGCGTAAGAACTAAATTGTCTACAAAGAGTGGAAGTGATCGTAAGATCTGAGGCTATTTACAGTTCCAAGGGCACGGGCCACATCGCTTCCTCCACGTCTGTACCCTCACAGTCTCCTGCATGCCCTTATTATCCCACCAAGTTATACCAACAGGTTCAGAATAGTGGAGTTGGGGTTTAGCATAAGGTGTTTTTCATTAAGTAACATAGCGACGCTGGGGAAATACCTTGTTTTTATCTGAGTGGGGAAGATGGTAATGTCGGTAATCCAGAATAGATTAGAATTGGGAATATGTGCAAAAGATTACAAAGTAGTCGTATTACTCTTTCCTAATGTATATTGGAAATTACTAACATCAGATTTGATCACTTGGATTCTCGCACATGTTTTTCCAACTCGCAGTTAGGTGAGTTGTTATATCTATTCTGTCATTGGTATGCCACTGATTTTGTTTTATATGGCTCAGTGATACGCTCGCTGTCCATTAGTGTATTGCCCCTCGCTTTCGAAATACGTCCAACCAGAACCAGTTAGAGCATTATCATCTACTCTATTGATTTATTAAAGACTGTTTTCAGCTGCCGATTAACTGAAATTCCAATTAAAAGGTTGAACAGTGAAAAAGAAATAAGAGGCAGACCCACGTTCTGTTACAGTAATCAAGTGATCTGTCAATGTACACTGTTACGACACGAGCACTCTCGGCTCTCCTGTCTGGTACTGTCTGGCACTAGCATATTCCGTGGAAGGCGCTAGTCCTATTCCAGACACTTCCAGGTCGACAGAAAGCTCTTATATTAGAGCCGTACCGCTCGACCTTAGTTAACTTCTCTCCTTATTCCACTTTTTACAGCTCATTCTAACAGTCTCCTGTTTTGTCCCTGACATGCACTCTAAATATATTCACATTAGCTTCATGTGTGTGAGCCTAAAGAAGAACAGTCCAACTTTCAAGGTTGAACTATGTTGGGTTTAGAGCTCCCTTATCCTTCTAATGCAGGATTTTTTTTGCGTCTTTTCTTGAGAAGGCGTTAGAGAATTCATATACGGAGTCTTTGTCACGTAGGTCATAGTATAAAGCTTGAACCTTAATTCTCCTACCTTGTTCAAAAGCTTATTTTGTGTTTGCGCTGCCACCAGAAAACAACCCCTTTATTTAGAGGAAAAGGTAGGATATTATGGGGCATATAAGAACGAGAAGAAGCACGAATTTGTCTTGGATCTTCTTGCACGTTGTCTTCTTGTGTAGAATGGTAATTGAGACCCCAACTTCTCGTATTTGGGCATGTTCAAAATTTATACCATTGCTATATAGGCTTTGATACACATGGTAGATATTTCGTATGATAGTTGGGTAGACTTGAGTATCAGCATCAAGTAGTCTTCATGTGATTGGGGGGTTACACAGGACCCGTATCAGCCCTGCTCCCTGCTCAGCTACGTTTGAAAAATGCTAGGGTATGACCTAAAAACCTAAACATTTCATATTACTAGTTAATCCTGTCTGGTAGCTTTAAAGATGCTATCGATAGTTGGAACGAAACAGTTTCATGAAAACTTTCCAATGCAATTTGAGTAGTCATACAGTAACTGATAAGTTTCCCAGCATATATGAGAGTTGGATTCATTCACAGGATTAACTCCTGGTCCCAAACCTGGCTCTACAGTCATGACTTGCGTAAACTTGAAATCTGAGATGTAACAACGATGATACCAACCGCGGAATTTGAGCGATTGAATTTCCTTATATATAAACATGTGCGCTCTTTACTCCGCTTTAAGAGAACATGTCGTCTCAAGTTTTATTTTACTGTAATAACATCATCATCCTCCAACAACCAACCACCAACCACCAACCACCAATCATACCACATAATATGAAACTCCTTACTAGTCTCACATTACTATTCCTCTTCGCAAAATCTGCTCTGGCAGTCTGTGCAAACAGTGAAAAATCAGCATCAGGCCCAAACAAAGTTTGCGAAGTGAGCAACGTCAAAATATTTCAACAAATAAAGCTAACGCCATACAGAACAATAAAGAGAATCCACACCCCTGGCTTGTGAGTGACTATTATACGTAACTCTCTCGAGTGTAAGCCTCAATTTGATGCCCAAAACTAACCACTGCAGTGCAATACTGTAGGCGAAGTTCCTAAAACTAGTCAACCTACAAAGCCTGGAGATACGCGCGGTTGTGATCTCTTATTGAAATCATCAAATAAATATGTGTGGTGTGTAAGTATTTGTCTGGTGTCGGGGCTGTGGCTATGTCATGGTGTTGATATGATTGTAGTGCGCTTTCAGCATATAAGCTGGCAGAAGATCTAGAGAACCTTGTGCTACGGTGGCATGGCATTTTAAGTGATCTTTGAGGCTTTATTTGATACGTGCTCTGGTGGCCCTGAAGTGTATATATTGAGATGTATATTGAGTGGAATGTAATGAACAAGTTTGGTCAACGACCATCTGGAATAGAATATCTTGAATTATTTTCAAATTTATTCTTCCAGAAATCCTGATATAAAACCTTTCTAAAGAAAAAGTCTACTTCCAAAACTCATCAATTTTCTAACTGGCTACTCACCAATTCACCAATACAACTACCACATTCACGTACAAAGCCACAACCAATCACACCCCCTAAATCTCCCCATAGAAATTCAGAAGTGGGTAGACCGACTCCATAAACGCACCTTATAAATTAGGATAACGGCCCAACCAGCGAATCCACCAACTATACACCTGTTGGTGGTGCGCTAGGTAACTGCAATGGCTTAGTCGTGCGAACGAAGGTTTCCTGTACTAGACTTTTAAAAAATAACATAGTGCTGTTTATAAGTATCGTAATAGTAAAAACTCAGTTCGTCTGGATTTTCAGGTCCTGTGCGCTCTTCAGTGAGTCTGGGTCTTTTTTTGCCTTTTTTTGGGTTGTTTTTGGTTTTTGGGGTTTCGCTTACTACTGTATAGCGGTGCCCCCTTTTGTAGTGATGGGTTCGCAGTGATCTTCAACAAGTGAATTAGACAATCGAGGACTTTGGTTTGTATGCACTGCTTTCTGTTTGATTCGTCGGTTGTGATTAGGACAAAGAAATGAATAATGCCCACCGGTATCTATGGAGGAAGTTGTCAAAATATCAGATGGCCAAACAAAGAGGAAGTGTAAACAGTCATATTAAACAATGCCTTGTTTCCAAGGAGACGCAAGCATAAACCCCTGATTTCGCACAAGGTATTCGAACCAATCTCTCAAGGATACACGCAAAACGTTTGAATAACTATATAAACTAAATACATAACAAAAGACATGACAGTTGTTCGAAAATCACGCTCTCATGGGCGTCGTGGGAATAAGGGAAGACCTAGACGACCACTTTCCAAAGAGCAAAAAGAACACCTCGAGAAAGCCCGTCTAGAAATTTTCTACAAACTGGATATCCAAACCTACCCCAACGCCCCCGAAGTCCTAACGCTAAACATCGAGCTCGCACGCACAAAGCAAGAAACGAAACCTCTATCTGATATTTCCAAGTTTGGCTCTACCATCAAGGTAATCCATATCTTTATTGACTTCAAATCAGTTCCTCTCAGGGCGCGAGACGTAATTTTCTTCAAGAAGCTGGTTCTCTTGCTGAATGGTTTTGCGTTGAGAGCCTTGGATGTGCATTTTTTACTGCCGGAGGACTGCCTAGAGTGGGATAAGTTGAGAAATGTGGCGCTATTTCATGGACTTGATGGGGAGATTCGTGGTATGTGGACTTTTGACTATCTTCTGCTGGGTAGCTCGGAGGCTTCTTGGCAGGCGCTTGATGAACAAGTGGAGCGTCGACTGCAGAAGCTTTACTCATTGCTAAAGAGTAGTCGCTTTTTGGAAGAGCTTGAAGCTAGTTTGCTGTAAGATTTCACCTTTAGCAACCCTATCATATAACTAACCGCTCGGTTCATTAAATACGCATTGATTACCCTACACCCAGATTCGAAACCCCTTCTCCTAATGACCTGAATTATTCTTGAGTGTACAGTACATAGCGTAAGGAATTACATGCCACATGATTTATCTTGAAGATAATCAAGATATTGATATGATGTGCATATCCAAAATGAAAATGACTACTGTCACCCCATATATTATCAGGCCACTCCCGGAGCAGCGCAATACAATAACATCTCTAAACTCATATATTCACAATGCCATTGCCAATTTTCATGACAATTAAATACCTGGCCCAATCATCAAAAAGCCCCATTTCCACTCCATCTAACAGCAGTGAAATCCTGATTAACAAGATCAGATTGCCAAGGTCCTCTCGACCAATCCACGTTATTTAACCAATCCAGGTCCTCTAATAGACCATCATAATTCGAAGTGTCAAAAGCGGCCGGGGGAGGTATGGCTGTGTCAAACTGACCAACAAAGCCAGTTTCGAAATTTTGTCCTGTCATTGCAGTATCCACCACAGGTGGCAATTGTGCAGAGTCTTGTGATGGAACTGGTGCCGGTGCCGGAGTTGGTTGTGAAGCAGGCGGTGTGGGATCAAGAATCTGATCGAGGATTCTTTTGATGATGAGTCTCATCCGACCACAGAGTTGGTAATTACCTGCTGCTGGACGAACCCATTCTAGGAATCCTATCAGCAAGCTTAGATTCTGCACAATCTCGGAACGTGCTAAGCGTGGTCCTGGAAGTTGAGGATGTTTAAGCTGTTTGAGAAGCTCGACGCAGAGGACACCACTTGCGGGTACGCCCCAACACATTAGCATCCAATCAAAATCGTGTTGATGTTCGACAAACCGATCTCTTTGAACCCAAATGAGGACCACGAGCTCGAGCATTTCTCGAGCGCAGTCTACCATTGATTGGCCGTCGAAGATGTTTTGTTTGTGAGCTAATCGTTCAAGTAAGAGGCGGTGTTCAAGAAATGTGAGTCGGATATTGAGTGTCTTCCAGTATTTGTAATCGCTCTTCTCTTTGATATGAGGATCATTTAACGAAAATTGAAGGAATCTTGGGAAACCGTCATAAGTTTGTTGCAGACGATTCAGCAGATACCTTATTCGTTCCTCAGTGCAGTCTTCAGGGTCCCCAAGAGACAGCTCGAGTATCTCATCCAAAACGACCGACAGCATGCCTCTTGCTCGAGCACCAGTCGACTGGTAAATGTTTCCCGCAACATTCCAACCATTCTCATCCAGTCTGCTCACTGCTTCTGCCAACACTTCACCACCTTGCATAACTTCGTCATCACTAAGATCTAATGGGTGTTTGAAGCGAGTGTAGCGGTAACTGAGAGCTGGTGGACGGCCTGTAAGTAAAGAAGAACTTTTATCCAGGTTGAATATCACCGTGAAGATTCGTTTCTTCAACTCTGGCAGGAATGAAATCTGTTGCCCGTTATCGATTTGTCGATGCAGTCCCAGGGCAGTAGAGCTACTCAGTAAATCTCCCAGCTGCCTCCAGACAACAAGACCTTTTGAATGTTAGCACATAAGACCAAGTTAGAAATTTGAAAGGTGATTCATTACTTGTATCGCCACTTATGACGGTTTGAAGTATCAGATTCTTGGTCAACAACGCAACCATGGGGAAGTTGATCAGATCCATATAGTTGCTTAGATTAACACAGGCTTGCACACAATCCTTCATCTCAACGGCGAAACTTTTTCTATCTCTTCGGGGACCTTTTTGTGTTGTGAAGAATGCATCGCGTTCTGGAAGACTAAGTGTAGCGCTTGTGAGAGCCGAGAAAACCATTCCCAAAATTTCCCAGCGAAGATTTTCACCACTAAAAGACTCCAACCATTTTGCGTACTCATCATGGCCAGAGGGTTCCTGAAGAACTTTCATCGAGTTCTCGCACAGGACTTTGGAAACATGTTCTATGGCATCTTTTGTTCGCGGTCCCTTAAGATGTGAACCATAGCTTGTCCAGATACTATTTGCACAACTCATCACACTGTGCTTGAAAAATGACTGCTCATGGCATTTGTCATAATACCATTCCAGAAGGAAGTTGAATGTATGTCTATCAGGAAAAGCTTTCAATAACCTTGCGCCCAAAGCAATCCTCGGATTACAGGTTGCGTCCAGACTTCCAGCAGGTACCATTAGGAAAGTCTGAGATTGCAAGGACCCCTCTTGAGACTCCCGCTGAAGAGGAGCAAGTTCAGCAATGTCATTTGATAAGTGAACGTCGGCGTTTGCAGGACCAAGATTTTCTCTATTTTCCAAAAACACAGCTGAGAAACTCGTCGGTCCAAAGAAACCACCGGCTGATTTGTTTGTCGGGAGAGTATCTGACAATGTATCCTGTGACAAGGTATTTTGGTGCCTCGGAAACGGAGAAGCACCAACTGAAGTAGGCGAAGTGATCGAGTTCGGGGTAGAAGTTCCGGGGGTGATGTTGCGTGGTAATAACTGATTATTTCTTCCACTTCCATCCACGGCCTTTGAACGAGAATCCGAAGAGGTGGCGAGGCGGGTCATAGGGGCGGAGAGGTAAATACATCTTGCAGCTACTTTTCTTCTTTTGCACCTCTCACAAACGGGTAGACCATGATCGCAACCCATTTTAGCCAGCCTACACGGCTCGCATGCTTGCTGTTTGCCATTCCTTCTGCGAGGAAGTCCACTTGGGCTATTTCGGGATGACATTGATTGGATCCGGAGGAAAAACCTACAATTGTCGGAAGTGTAGATGAAGAATTGATTAGAATTGAAGGGGGAGTTCGACTGTGATTTCGGAAAAGACGGAATAAAGATCGGATATCGGCATAGTGCCTCTCAATAGTGGACCTTGATCCATGGATGTAATCTAGCCTGACTCAGCTTCGGAGTTGACCATCGGAGTTCTGAATTCACCTCTGGCACGTGTCTGAATTGATAGCTCGGATATAAAAGAGAATGGTGAATATAAATCCTCGAGTCGACTAAGTAATGGGTCACAATAACGACTTCCAAAATAATGATGTTCGGAAACTTCCCAGTTCGGTAGCATTAGTAGCAAGGAGATCGTGTTGTTATCTCTAGGGTTTGCAAGTAAAGAACAATACATGATTACTCTAAACCGTGAGCTGGTTGGGAATTCAAAGTACGTACCGTGTATGTGATAGATATGGTTCTTGAGCTACAAGAAGTTTGATTATTCGAACTTCCTTCTTAGATTATGTGACGAGAGCCTCAGTCATCGCCATTTGGCACTAGTGTGCCATCCACAAGCCATAGAAGTTTTATCGATCCGCGGATTTTTTAGCAATGGATTTCTCAGACAAATATGCATATGTATACATTATAGAAACAAATAGATGTTTTACTTAAGTTCGCTCGCTAGTTAGGGAAACAGCTTCAGTCACGTGACCATGGTTATTTGCCTTCTAGGTTCGTAGGATCTTAATGAGTAAGAAAGAATTTAAGTCTAAAATACTAGGAATTAATTTGAAGAGAGTGTTGCGATTATAGTAGTAGATATAATAATCATTAAGCTAGAAGATATGAGGCTTGTTGAGATAGTAGTAGATATCGTATTTTTTACTAGGGTGCGCTTAGCAGGGGCTTGGCGTCTCTCTTCCCAAATCTTCCCGTCTGCCCCAAAACCTTTTTGAAGCGCAAGGCTCAAGTCCAACACGACCCCACCACCAAAGTCAAGATGCCGTCTACACACAACGTTGACAAACCTTGGGATACCGAGGATATCGATAAATGGAAGGTGAGCTCCATATCACCCAATCATTGAAATGCATGGAATCTAACAGTTAGCGTAGATTGAACCTTTCACGCCAGCCGACAATGCAGGCGGAACATTCACAGAAGAATCCTCCTTCGCGACCCTCTTCCCCAAATATCGCGAAGTCTACCTGCGCGAAGCATGGCCCCTGATTACGCGATCCCTCGAGAAGTTTGGCATAGCTTGTACGCTCGATTTGGTTGAAGGTTCCATGACTGTCAAGACCACCCGAAAAACATACGACCCGGCTGCGATTCTGAATGCGCGGGACTTAATCAAGCTTCTCGCAAGAAGTGTACCAGCTCCGCAAGCTGTCAAGATTCTTGATGACGGTGTAGCATGCGATGTCATCAAAATTCGCAATTTAGTACGAAACAAAGAGCGCTTCGTCAAGAGGCGACAGAGGATATTGGGACCCAATAGCAGCACCCTGAAAGCATTGGAGCTTCTCACTGAATGCTATTTGTTGGTCCAAGGAAACACAGTCGCAGCGATGGGACCATATAAAGGCTTGAAAGAAGTAAGGAGGATTATCGAGGACTGCATGGCAAACATCCACCCTATCTACCACATCAAGGAGCTCATGATCAAGCGGGAGTTGGCGAAGGACCCCGAACTAGCGGGCGAAAGTTGGGATAGATTTTTACCACATTTCAAGAAGAGGAATTTGGCCAAGAGACGCGTGCCTTTCAAGGTCGTGGATAAGAGTAAAAAGACATACACGCCATTCCCGCCAGCACAGGAGAAGAGCAAGGTCGATCTGCAAATTGAGAGTGGAGAATACTTTCTGGGCAAGCAAGCGAGGGAAAGGGCTATTAAGGAAGAGCGAATGGAGAAACAAAAGGAGAAAAAGAATGAGAAATTGAAGGAAAGAGAACAAGAATTTGTTGCGCCTAAAGAGGACAAGAAGAAGCGCAAGCGCGATGAGGGTGAGGGCGAGGGCGAGGAGGAGGAAGCGAAAAAGGAGAAGAAAAAGAAGAAGAAGGCCAAGGTGGTCGAAGCTGAAGAGGCATGAACGTGTGTTTAGAATTCATGGCATTTGGCGCTGGCGTTATTTTGGAGGCTTAATTGGAGTTCACCTGTACAATGTACTACCGCGGTATCAGTTCAATTGATAATAAAATACATTTCGTTCATTATCGTCGAAAGTCTTTTAACTAACACCACCTCATTGATCCCCTTTTGATGCCTTCATTCCCGAGTTCGAGTACGCTACAGAAGAATTGATGATACTCAAATAAAAGTCCTACTAAAATTGTCCAAGATAGCTTCCCCTTCACAATCTTTATATGTCTTCAATCTGCTTGATGGCCTTCTTATGAAGGTACCTATATATCATATACTCCAAAGGGGAAATCATGCGCTGTTGAAAGCGTCCCAACAATCATTCCATCCCTCAACGCCTGTTTGCGAGCCGAGTTACAAGTCACTCGTCTAAAGGCCAACGGCCCCTTCTCACATGTAGCAATGCGCAGTAAAAGTTTTCACTAACTCCGTGATGACTCAATGAGCACGGGAAATTTACTTTCATCTTTCTCGTGCATCCTCGGATGAGTCTGTTGGTTCGATCAACGTCGTGTTAATCTACTGCAAGAGAATGGCTTGATTAGCCGGGTGTTGTAAGCTAGGTGTTAATAACTTTATTCCAATTCAAGATGGAGCAAAACACAATCCCTTATGTCAGACACATTCTCATGGGTACCCGTTATAGGCCTTCTCTTGGTAGATATGCTTCGATATTGGCAGTGAATTCGGGAATTCCCACAAGATTCGAAAACCAATCTGAGGAGTTCGCTAAGTGGCGCTGTGGCATTTCGATGTGAGCCATCTGGACACCCAAACTGCCCTTACACCACCAATCGAACGGTACCAGATCAACAAACGTCTGGCTTCCATTGGAATATCCAAAATACACCCCATCAAATTCCTTGCTGACTGAGGTGACTGTATTGAGAGAAACATTGAACGGTAACCGAGACACATATATACCATCCGGCTCATGGGCACCTTCATAAGCAACTGCTCAGCTTAGCCGCACACCTCCTTCCCCATCAACGCATTGAGCTGAACCCGTAAGTGTGGTGAATGATCCGCAAGGGGACTTCCGGGTTTCGAGGGCGGCTATGGAGATGTACACTAGCATGAAGACGAATAGGAGAACGGTATGTATCTTGTACCAGAGAGGTTGCACACAAGGGATAATTGTGGTCCGTGGATTTTGGAAAGAATAGACCATCAGTATGCCTAGCATTGGTATCGTGACAAAGGTATAAAAACAGACTTCGACATAGTTGGTGGCGGACATGACATTTGTCCATTCTGGTGGCATCAAAGGAAGTACAAAAGCAATACCTGCTGCTGAGAAGCCTGTGATAATCAAGAAAAAGAATATTCGAACCATGCAACCTCTCCAGTTGTTTACTGGGTGTGAATCGTATGTCATTTGCTGCTCGTTTGGATAGGTTTCCGCACCTTCCATTGGACGGATCCTATAAAGCTCGTAACCTCCAGAATCGGACAGGGCTTTCCCGATTTGAGAATGATACTCGGCATATGTGGCTTCGTCAGAGATCCAGTAGGCTGCTGGAAGGCTTAGGAGACCAATGAATGCTAGGGGATAGAAGATTGTTGCCAGAGAAATCTGCCAGCCACCCACGCCTCCTTGTCAACTCGATGACAGATTGGACGCCTTGTATCGCCACAACCAGCGTTTCGGCGGCCGTCCTAGATACGAACTTCATTCGAGGTTTATGTGCTACCCTCGTGCAAATTATCATGCTTTTCTGAATCATTTCTTCTGATCCGTTCCATCCTTCTTCGGTCCAAAAGCGGGTATTGCTTGCAGCCATGTGAAAAGAGTTCCAGTTTTTACATCTTATTCGACGGTCTGTGAGAGCCATGTACTGCCATACAATTGTATTGGGTTGAAAGGGTATTGGGTACTGAAGGTCATGGAGAATTGATTGCATTGTAAAAGGTAGCTATCTAAGGTGTTTATATAAAGAGTGTAAGGTTTAGGCAGACATGAAGCATTTAGGCAGCAGAACTATAAGTGGATCAAATAAGGAAGTGGAGGAAAAGAGAAAGTAGACCCAGCACAACAAATTGTAGTTGGATTGAAGAAACAAATTGTATCGTGCCATGATGGCAAGCTTTTTCGGAGGTAGACTGGATTTGGAATGCCGGAAATAATGTGTACAATTATAGGAGCGAAACATAATGTAAGAATCGAGAGCCAATCACTGGCGGATATGCTCTCGGCTTTCGATCTAATTGAAAGGGGTTCAACTCTGTACATGACTGAATAAATGAGGTGAAAGATTGGACGTTCGTTGCACTGATCATTTTAGGATGCAAGATTTATTTTTGGAGGAGGCTGACCATAAAGTAGTGGGAAAGGGGGTGGCTGAGTTCTAGCATCTGATACAACAATCTGGTGTGCTGTACAGCGTTACAGTACAGTAAGCAGTCGAGGAGTGTCAATTGGGCGACGACTCGTACCAATTATTTGCAATGAGGATGTATCGTCCATGAAAAGATCCATCTCAGATTTGAATGACCTTATTCCAGAGAGTTTAGACGATAACATACGTAAAAAGGCTTGCTCTTAGGGAATTCTGACGAGGCTGGGGATGGTCAACGTAGAAAAATGGTCTTTGATATATGAAATTGGGGTAATCAGTTGACAGAGCTCACTGCCGCTACGTTCCTTTTACAGAAGGAAATCCAAGAAATGAAGAGTATGCAGCCCCGTACTTGCTGGATTCTGGCTAATGAAAGCGTCAGTTTCTCAAAGGCGACATGATATTTCAAACTTGTGGACTTCCGTTTTGCAACTAGAGAACCCAAAACACTCCCCAAACTTGCCCCGACAAGCTTCGATTCAGCGATATAGGACTTGCATCGAGATATCTGGAGGCTGCGGCAGGGAATGGATACCCCATTGATGTTATCACAAAATCAGAAGATATACCTACGACAACATTCAGCTTCTACAGGCTCTGAGAATGGATGGCGACCGGTCACAGCGAAACACTATGGCTCTGTGGACCAGCTTACAAATACCCACCAAGCACAGTGTCTCTGGCTGCTGCATCAATAGTTTTGACAAGCGAACAGAACAAGTTCAATAAAATTGCTTACCGATTCCACCTTGGAGACTTCTACAGCAAGTATTTCGTCTTCCCAGCCACCCGAAGAAGAAGCTCTAAATTAATTCCGTGGAAGTCGACCGTCTGCTCATGATGGTTTACTCGCTTATTCGGCAAATGATTTGGCTTTTGCCAGAAGAGACGAACACCGAATCAGATTTCACCCATGAAAGATTTGACTCACTTGATGGTAATATCAAAAGTCTGCCCGAAGCGCTCAACATTTTTGAAAATCTTTTAGCGTTGATGCCGGCACTATTCCTCCGTATCATCGATGGAATTCAGCTAGTTGATGGAGACCGGTATGATGTAAACAGTATCGGTACAAGTGGATATTTTGACTCGTTCTTGGATATACTAAGAAAAACGGAGAATGATAGGGTCATGAAGGTTCTTCTTACAAGGGATGGGGTTATGTCCAGTGCTACTAGATGAGGAAAACATTAGACTGGGGAACAGATGCACATCGAGGGCAATACAGATACTCAAGGCGTCACACAACGGGTTTGATGCATCCAATGCATATATATGAGGTACTCTCAAGCTTTCGCAAGTTTTTATGGCTGCGTACCTGACTCGATCCCCAATATCCTAACCGAATGGACAATAACTGAATTTGCTGAAGAAGTTCTTGGAAATGGGGAACCCTGGGAGAAGAAACGAACAAACCTTGGATACTGTTAACGTTGGGCGATAATATTTATCAGGGGATACATACCCAGTGGGAGCGGGCGTAGATAAGGTATCGACAACCGGTTGTCGATACCTTATCTACATTTTTGTATACGCTCGGTTGTAGATACCCTATCGATAATTGTCGATACCTTATGTACAAATTATTTCTATACTTATTTCTACACTTTTATGGCTTAAATCACTCACTTGAATTAAGTATATATAGAGGTTATAGGTAGGGACAAAAAAACGACTAAGTACACTTATAGGTAGGGACAGGAGGGGGGACAAAAAACGACTAAGTAAACCCACAGGTAGGGATAGTCGGAACGACTAAGTATACTCGTAGGTAGGGACGGGAGGGAGTAAAAACAAAACGACTAAGTACACTTATAGGTAGGGACAATAGGAGCAAGAGAGGGCGGGGGAAGGGCAGTAATATATAGGCGGTACTCAGTAGTACTCGGAAGTACGTGCGTAGTAGGATCTACGTACCTAAAACTATAATAAAAGTCTATTCCTAGCTACCGGACCGGTAAAAGTACTTAGCGAAATCGAGAAAACTTGTCCTATATATAATAAAAAAGGTCTTATAGAGAACGCTATAGGGATAAATAGACGACTATTAGAGACTAATAGACCCTTTTATAAGAAAATTATTTTTAAAAGAAAACTTCCCCTATATAATTAGTTGTAGATACCCTATCGATAATTGTCGATACCTTATTTACAACCGGTTGTAGATACCTTATCTATACCCGCTCCTACCTACTAGGAGGGTAAGCGAAAATTATAGATAACTTTTTTTTTTAGGTTGTCGATACAGTATCGACCGGGTGTAGATAAGGTATCGACTTTTCTGCTCCCACTAGGATATAAGGACGTCGGCTGCCTATATATATATATATATATATATAGTCCTATGGGAAGCTAGTATATCACAGAACATGAACAGCCAAGGCAGAATTGAACGGTATTTTCTCTCTGCCTTTAGGCCCTGTTTCGCCCGATGTCACATCACCATGTTATACCAACACCCGTCGGGAGATACCCGAGTACTGTGGGGTATAAACACGTGACATATACCTTCTCATAGCTGCTTAGCCAATTATTCTGCTTCCTTCACTTTGAGGGGGAAAACGATGGACCAAACAACAAACGAATCGAATTTCGCACCATCGGTGTACGGCTTCTCTATACAGGAGATGGTAATCCTCGAACACGCCATATCTTATTCAATGATGAGCAGAAATACCAGATTTGTTATCGAGATTGCTGCAGAACGACTGAAGGGAGAAGGTGGTCTCATTGACGAATTTTACCAATTCAAACCCGACATTGGCAACCCTGACATCTTCTGCGATTTCGAGACATGGGCTATTGACCCGATCCATGAGAGGGTCCAACAGTTGGCTCCGATACCAATCTCCACGTCGACTAGTTTACTGGACTACTATGATCCCGTCACTTACGTTTTTGAGCTGTATAACGATGGCGGTATACTTAATGCGAATGAGCTCCCATTTGACCCAGATATTTTTTGGAAATGCCAGTCCGAAAGTTGCCATCGTTACCAATGCAGAAAGGCAACTTTCGTCTGATCCGAAAACGCCAAGAGATGGCTTTGTATCTCGATTTGCTCTTCCTACAGTACCTTTTTTTCCCGCATCGCAATTGGTAAGAGCTGCAAGCCTCGATTCCATAGAAGAAAAGATGTGTCAGATCCCACGAGTTGTAAGGGATCTCCATACAGAAGAGAAGTTCTTTTTCAAAGCAGGAGATAAAAGGCATGGATTTCGCAGAGAAGTTGAGATTTTGGCCAAGTTGAAAAGAATCTCTGAGCATGACCCTGAACTGCGAACTTCGCGGATTGTAGGCTTAGTCAACTGGGACGGGCAAGAATCAGTTCTCATGGGTATGCTGCTGGAAAATATCGAGGGAATCACGCTCCATAAAGCAATAATGGACGCTTCGATCGATGAGAAACGTAAATGGATGGACCAGATTGAAGCGACTGTTAAGAGTCTACATGGGTATGGAATTGTTTGGGGGGATGTGAAGCCGGACAATGTCATGATTGACTCTTCTGGAGACGCTATTTTGATCGATTTTGGCGGTGGAGGGACGCTCGAGTACGTGGATTTGGAACACCACGAAACAAAAGAGGGAGACTTGCAGGGGTTAAAACGGCTCAGATCAAATTTTATTTGTTGACAGTCACAAAGGAACTGATCATATCGAAGCTTATTTCGCTAATTTGCTCGTCTACCTAATTACTATGCCGAGAGATGTTTCATGATAATTGTTTGTGGGATTCTGTTAAAGGGCTTTTATTGCAACTCTAATGATGTTATATGGACCCGAAGAAGTGGTATAGTATATTCACATAAGAATGAAACAGAATTGAAGTATGGTCAATAAGTATTGGAGTTATAAAATAAACCTGAGATCATCACTGATTGCTCTCAGAATAAACACTACTGGTACATATTTGCAACTATGTACGACTTTCAGTCCAGAACCCTCAATCTCACACAGTTTGGACCTCAAAATCTCCGCCAAAAATCATAGCCCTATCCCTCGTTGGGTACAGAACGTGTTGTTGAAGAGGATGCCGATGAATAATCCTCCAACAACTCGCGTAAATCATCTGGAACACTTTCCCTGTTGGACCAGTCTTTGAGCAATTTGTCGGCTACCTCCTCCGAAACTCCCCAACTTAGAACTTCTCTCTTGTCGTCTTCAGAAATCGGGCGCCAATGTTCAACGACTGTACTTAGAAGTGCTTCTCGACCAAGCTCGGCTTCGACCCTAAACTGGTCATCAAGAGCTCGCTTCTTGACCGCCTCTCGAAGTTCATCGCTAAGTACACGTAGGGAATTGAGAAATGGTTTTCCGTGTCCAAACTGTCCTGTCCCACCGCGATGGGCTGAGAGAAAACCTGGAGCTCCGTAATGCATAATGAAGGCGTGAAGCATCCTTAGGATATCAGCATGTAACTTGATGGATGAAATATAAACAAGAAAGGCCGAAGAGAAAATGCTCTTCCGACTTGACATTTGAAGGCTTACTTACTCATGGAGAAGAGCGGAAACTGCCCAATTATCCCAGTTTCGATGAATGGCAATTTCACGTTCATTCAACTGATTATCTGTATTAATGTAGATTTCCTGCTGAGTACAATAGGGTTCTGCCTTCTCCATGTTCTGGCGCGGTCGATAGAGTATATCGTAGCGAACCTTTTTGAGCCCTTCGAAAAAGCAAATTTTATCGAAGAAGGAAAACCACGCCCTGATAAAACTCTCCTTGTCTAGCTCAGATAGCGCTGTGACAGGGAATAGTTGGTTGGTTATAGCAGGATCACTGAGTCCTTTTTCGATAACTGTTGGTGCGTAGGTTACGAAAACTTGGGGAAATTCGACCTCATTGTATTCGTGCTCCTTGATTGAACCCTTGGGGTTGTAATCCTCGCCTGGGTCTCTGGAAGAAGGTATTTGTTCATTGCGCTCCTCTAGAGAGAATTCTCCTAACATGATGCTATTTGTTCTGGTTTATTGTGTATGTTGTTTGTCCTTGTGGGTAAGTATGAGTTAGTTTTTTTGGTTGTTGAAAATTGCAATGAGAAAGGGGAGGTAGTTAACTAACTCAAACCGCTCTTGTGTTTTTATAGACTTTTGCTTGAAAAGGGAGTGTGAATATTGATATATCATAGATTTACTATGAATCGCTCAGATCTGGTTCAAAATAATTAATCACAAAACACATGGCTGTGAATCTAAGGAAGCAGTAGTGCGCTTGTTCGCTTAGCATCAAAAACCCCTTCTGAAGCCCCATTCACGTTCGTACTATAGGTAGCTCTTTCTGAGTCGCTATGTGTAGTCGGCCTACAGTACCTTTGTCTACCCCATATATTAATCATGTTACGGTATTTTCTCTTTTCCAGCCATAAGTCCTACCTGTTAAAGGGCCAAGGCGACCTTTTAAGTAATATGCGCCAGATTCCGCCTGACTGTCTGCTGGTTGCTATCGTATCAAAGGAGAAGTTAGATAATGCTATGCTTGTCTAGGAGAATAGGACTAGGCTCAACGAAGACAAGGTACAAGGGTTTTCCTTTATCAAGAGGATGGATAGAGTCTTCGTTTTTAATGGTTTTTGAGAGATACAAGTCACAGTAACTATTACAAACCAATCAGCTACAAAAGATGTGATTTGTGTCTGATAATTCGGAAGCTAAGTCACAACCCCCTCTTCATTATTACTCATAAACTCCTGACAGTCTAATGCTAATTGGAAGGACAAAACGCTCAGTAGTGAAGTAGAAATTAGTGACTGAGATAACCGTTGAGGTTTGTGACTTGCTGCAAGTCACTATACTAAGGATTTCTTGAAAAGACTACTTCTGAAGTATCGCGTAAGAACCTATAGTACCTTTAACATGGCAATTTTACGGGAGCATGTCATGTTGATTTTCACAAAGAACAGTCAGACCTCTATTCTCAAACATCAGCTCAATATTTTATGCCTTCCTAGGTCCAATTCTTCAAGCACCAACTGTGAGCTCAACATATCGTGCTGAGGTCAAAAGTATCTAACTACAGCTTCAAGTGCTCACTCTTCAACCTTAATCTATACTCATTAAAACGCTCTAAACCACCCACCATTCAAAAGCGTGAGGTACTCTCAGCCACCCACGCGTAAAGGGCAAACTATCTAAATCCAACTCACGAGCATATACTGATGCGAGGGGCCTACTGATACCCGATACCCAATTCGCGCAAACGAGGCGAGCCTAAGCGAGAGGTTTGTGTATGGGACAAAAAAAGAGAGCTCCAAATAGTATGTTGTGATAAACACGATATTATGGTGATGGTGGACCTAGGAGGAGTTGCACAATACGGGTATACGTATAAGTAACTCGTACTATTATCTTCTTCGTTCACTACAAACCACTTCCATTTTCCATATAGCTAGACAGAAATCAACGTCTCTCTGCATACTCAACGTACTAGAATCAAAAAGATGCACTATATCATGAATTAATTCGGTTCACAACACCTTCCGTTGATTTTGCGATTCTCGCTGAGTTTGCAGCATCGATGCTAGCTGACAGCAGTCCCCAGTCCATTTCATTGCTCACAACCAATCATAAAACTTCGAATACCAACTTACATGCAAACCAGGCTAGCAACTATAACCCAAGCACGTTACCGAGAAAACAATCCGGGGAAATGCAATCTTGGCGCTCACCGAGAATGGAGGAATTAGACAAAAGAGAAACACGGGTTGGTGTTTCTGGGTTACGGGAGATTGGAGAAACGCGTGGTTTCTACTCAGAAACGACAATTTGGTTGGATGGTTTTTGAAAAAGGGGATTCTTTTTGAACGGGATTATAAGGTGGGTCGTAATTCTCTAAGCTAAGCGTTTCTAATTTGTAAAACACCAAGGCGAATAGAGAAGGTTCAACAAGGTAAGAATAGTTACACATATACGTAACAAAACGGCCCGGCAGTACTACTAACCAAGTTCCTACTTGGAATTCCTGCAAATCCGGCGGGAGCAACAACACTCAGTGTCTGCACATCATCAATCTTTCCAGCCGGACTATTTGCTTGGCTCATCACAGTCCCTCCTTTATACTGCTGCACTCTATTTGCAGGATCCTGATTCTGCCATATCCACCAGTGACGATCTACCTGTCCATGATGCAGCCAGAATACCGGCTCGCCTGGAGAAACGAAGAAATCTCCACCTGGGTCACCCCATATACTGTAGTGACCTGAGGTGTGGAGACTGAAGGCTGCACTAGTGTCTGTTTGTAGGGATTTCTGGAAGGTTTCTATCGCTGTGGTCGACTTGATGTGGGCGGCTATATTGGCTGGTGTCAGGGTTCGTGATGTGAAATAGGTGTTCACGTCTCGACGGAGACAGCGCGGATTGTAGCCGTAGCCATCAGAGCGAGGGTTGTTGAGGATTTTGAGTGCTGGGTCCATGGAGCCGGCTAGTGGACCAAGGTTTATTGTCATGCTGTAAAGTGTCAGGTGTGGCGTTGAAAAGGGGTATTCGAAATCTGGAGGGCTTACTTGGCGAATGGTCCTGTTTTAACACATCCACCACCATTTCCAGCCGGCACCATAGTATTTGGTAAACCCAAACCCTGACCTGCGTGCTTCACATATTCTCCGTTTCCACCCATACTGTGAGCGTCTCCATTGAATATCGGTGAGGTTGTGGGGTCTGGATATCTTCCCCAGTTCCAGTACTTCAACTACTCAGCATGCCATCCAAAAGATACTGGTCGATGGAAACTTACTGGCTGATAACCCTTGTATCCACATTCTTTTCGTAATGCCGTCTCGTAAGCCCAGATATAATATCTATGCCAATGGAGGAAGTTTGCCTATGTAGTCAGTACAAGTAACGAACTAATCTGAAGAAACTTACAGTATCATGAACATGCATGGTCATGTTGATATGGACAACCACAAAGTCATCATATCTGTTCTTGGCTCCAGGATATTGAGTTGCACTCAACTTCGATGGCGCACCGAGCAAGCATTTGACTGACTTAACATAGTCATCTTTCTCATCGGTTGTAAGGTCGCCACTGTGACCGTGTTTTAGCGAGCGAGAGATGCATTTGAACCCCAAACCAACTTACTATTCTTTCCTAACTATGACATTGTCTTTCGTACAACCGGTGTGGGTACTTCCATCATTGAGGGTACCATTCAAGACCTTATACGCATTGACCAACGCAATCTTTGCGAGATCATCATCGGGGCCTCGTTTCGAAAGGGGATTCGCAAGTGTCACGATTGGGGAAGCACACAACCAGAGTACCGAAAGACCGGATTTGGTGAAAATCATCTTCACAATTTGACTGCTAGAAGAACTAAATAAGAAAACCATCCGCTTGCATATATATAGTTTCCCAACCTCCCTGAAACCGTAGAAGCGTTGACGGTACCTTTGCTAGCATAGGGCGCGACCTCTAATGACCCCAAATGGCGTGAGTCTGACTGCATAAAAATTGAATTGTGGAATCCGGTAGCGAAGATTGTGTTCCCAAGCTTCCTTTAGGATAATTGAAATCGATCACTTTCATAACAGCTGCTAGATTCATATTTAAAAGTCTCTGGGGTCTCAAATATCGGCAGTTGGTGTAACAAGAAGATCGTCATTGAGTAACAAATCGACTTGGGGTTGGCAGTGACAAAATGGAATGTACCAAGTGCCGATTTAAATCACTATATCAAATCATCCTTGGCACTTTATCAGTGAGATTTCGTCTCGTCGGTTCGTGCCAACCCATGTTCGTGCGGCGGCAGAACAGTCCTTAGAGTGTCATAAATCTCTAATACATATAATGAACAAGGGGACACGGATTATCACCCATATTCGTTACCGAGTTTGCGTACGGGAAAAGGGGGTTGGCAGTTCCCAATTGGGTTGTTGTATTTATATTTCTAGCCAATCACCATGTTTTTATCGTCCGCTGCTACCGCTACAAATATCATACGGGATAGTTTATTGGATGCAGTATATCCCAATCGTCTGTAAAGAGCATAGTGAAATTCCTAAGACAAAGGAAATATACAAGCAGCGTCAAAGCCGTTTGAAATTGGCCGTACGAAGTTCAAGGTGAGCCATTAGGAATCACTAGATTCTGACGCACGAGAAAGATTCGTTAGAATGAACAGATTCAAGAGCTTCCCAAGTGGTGTAAGATTACAAGTAGATTTTGACTGGTGTCAATATGAGCGGAACAAACCAATCATCCAGCCAAAACAATGCCATAAGCTGAGTGCGTTAGGAATATTGGTATGAAAATATGCACGAAAATTTCCAAGCATGCAACGCCCCACAAGGGAAATAAACCAGAGTATATTATTTAACCGAGTCCTAATCGGCCACCGATCAGCCTTTGCACAAATGAACGCTCGTTCCAAACACCAATCATCTTGGGAAGTAATAGAATGGAACAATTATAGTGTAGGTCGAAGATAATCTCATGGTTTTGCCAGCATATGAATACATGCTACTTCTCGTCTTGGAAATTCTTCTGGACGTGGAAGATCACATGCTATAAAAGCTGGATGGGTGTTGTTTGTTAAAACTATTTTAGCGAATCAATTGCAATAACCATCAGTCTCGCTGTGAATTTTACAGTACTTCGCTTGTTTTTCTGTATCAACAAATGCAAGACTTCTCCAAGAACACTGGAACACAATGTCATTATGCGAGATCAAATATCCTCGGGTCTAGACTTAGATATCTCCCAACAGAAGCAATTGCAGTAGAGGAAAGCACATATGGCCGAACCATGGGCCCGTTCTTAGATGAAAGATCGTGGTAGCCCAGTCCTAGCAAGGAGGGCAAAAAAAGCAAAACTAAAGTAATCCTGTCGACTTCAGTAGAGTTGAATTAACATAGACAGGCTGAAACAAGCTAATGAGCCAAACTCCATGCCCAGACTGATGCTTATTGACACGTCCGGGTCTAACTGAGCTACAGTACAATATTATTGAACAGAAACACGAGCAAGACATAAACTACATGAAAGAGAACAGATCATGACGGGATTGTCAGAATGAGGTTAGAAAGACCCCATTCAGTTTCAGTTGCTCTAAACAAATAAGAATAACAACATCATGTAAAGTTCGGAATTAGACAAAGTTTGGGCAAATCAAAAGGCATCCGCTGAATCTCAATACTTTCGTGTTGCGAAATACTTGCTGTTTTTGTGGCTCACGCTGTTCCCAGCTAGCCCAGAACCTTGAAATCTCAAGTCTCATGACTGGCACCATTTGAACTTTGCTGACGAGCACTGGGTTAGTACGAGTGAATTCCCGTTGTCGTAAAATAGTACTCGTCAGATTCGCTTCCTGGGATTCTGCTTGTTGAGAACTTGAAAGAGGTTACCAGAACCCGGGAGTTCCCCATCTTGGCCTTCCTTGGCAGGTAACATCCATGGGATGAGCCTGAACACAAATGTACCGCGAACAGGTTCTCAACGGCTTCACTTTGTAATACAAGTAGCTCTTGACCTGCATCTTGGTGCCATTTCACGTCTTTCTCGATGAAATTGAATCGTGGAAACCACCAACCTTACCAGGGCGCAGTCTTCCTGCTTTTGTCAGCGCCGAGGAGTCGTTTGTTGGAATGCCAATGTTCTTGGACTATGGGGAAATACGACAATAATGGCATGTTATCGTGTGGACATTGCGGAGAAATGCGGGGAGCAAGCATCCTAAGCATTTGTCTCGACCTCTTTTCCTCTCCTCCAAGGAAGCTTCGTTGCTTGGAATTTGCCAAGTTGAAGATTACTCTCCATGATTGGCCGAGACGGTCTTTTTCGGGGCTCATCGTTGCTGCGAACGCGGGGAAAGTGGTCGGAGTTTGGCGCTTTTTGATGGGGAGCAGAAAAAGTGGGATGCCCAGAGAACCCCGTATTCAATAATGTGGATGCGGTGTGCGCTTTCTGGAAATATTGGGGGATTTCAGAGACATTTATCAATTCTGATGCCTCGAAGATAGACTCAACTCCTTTCAAACCCGTATGTGGATGCCTCCCGACCAGACAGACGGTCAACCTTCCATCTGCTCTCGGACACACCTCGGCCATGTCAGTGATGGGTTCAATGTGACCGTCACCGACTTGAAGGTGGTGCAGTTGGTATGTGTGGAAGGTGTTGTTGTGATTGGTGATTATGAGAAAAGCTTTGGAAAGATGGGGTGATGGCGGATGAGAAGAAGCTTTCCGAGCCCAGGCTTGTCAAATTGCGGAGTAAATTGGGTTTATGCACGTGACTCGCCTCGAAAACGACCTTTTTCTCACCAACATTCCGAATTCATCTCCTGATGTGGCAGTCTTCTCCTGGTCAGCCGCTCTACCTTCGTCCACTTTGAAACCAATCCCCAAAGAATACCCCCACTGCCACACGCCCTTATGATTTACCTCCTCCCTCCTTGAGCTCAGTGTAATGTAGATTCATCATCCAATCCAATCTTACGGGGCGGCACCGGAAGGACCCTACAACCCCATCCGCGTCCTTCTACTACCTCGAAAGAGCCTAGCTGTACATAAAACTAAACACGACGCCTCTTATTTTGGCGCCCGGGGCCTGGAGAATCAGAAGTCTAATCCACAAAATCTTCCCTACGAGAAGCTGCATGTAACGTAAGGTTTTGCCTTGGCGGTTGGCCTGTGTAGCGATGATGCGGGGGCTGCAAGCTGATAGCAAACACCGGGTTTCTGCCCGACAGCCTAGAAAGTGAATGATCCACTGCATGTATAAAGAAAGAGCTTCCCAGTGGCACCCAACATCCTCTAGAGCTCTTCATATCCTACTCCTCTTGTGTTACCACTTCTTTGGATAGCTAACTCTGCAACTATTACAAACGGCTTCTAAACGGCTTCAAAATGGCTGGTGGAGGCGGTAAGCCCCAGAATATCTTTAAACTCAATCGTGGAGATGATCCAAAAGAAGTTTTGAACTGGCGACTATGGTTTGCAGTCCTCTCCTTTGGTATCATGGGTGCAGCAAGAGGTAAGAATTCTAAATCTCCCGTCAGCCAAAGTCCATGGTTCATAGGATTTTTTTAGGAATTGATGAGGGTCTCATCTCCGGTACACTTGCAAAGAAGAACTTCACTCAGAAACTTGGCTTCGACGAAATGGATGATGTTGAACTTGCAAATGTCAAAGGAAATATCTCTGCTATGGTCCAAATCGGTTCCGTAGGTGGTGCTGCTTTGTAAGTTCTACATTCGTGCAAGTTGTTGCCGTCTGCTAACCTATTCCCATAGGGCTTTCATTCTCTGCGATCGCATTGGACGTCTGTGGGCTACTCGACAGCTGTGCGCGTTGTGGATCCTCGGTATTGTCATATTCCTTACAAATGGGGGAAGGATTGGTCAGGTTTACGCTGGTCGATTTATCGCTGGACTCGGCATCGGTCAAACGACCGTGGTAGCTCCAGTCTACCTATCAGAGATCGCGCCAAAATCGGTTCGGGGTCTTTGTACTTGCGCTTTCTCAGGTTCTGTGTACATTGGAATTATGCTTGCATATTTCGCTTCCTGGGGAAGTGAACTTCACATTCCTGTTGGCCCAAATCAATGGGTAAGTTGTTCTCTACTTTCGGAAACAGTTTGCTAACTCCTCAAAGGTTGTCCCAACCACAATTCACATCATGTTTGCCGGCATTATTGTCATCCTTTCATTCTTCAACTACGAGTCCCCACGTTATTTGATTAAGATTGGACAGGATGACCACGCCACTGTGAACTTGGCCCGCGTCCGAAATCTCCCAGTGGACCATGCTCATGTCATGAAGGAAATTGCCGATATTCAGCACCAACTACAAGAGGAAAGAGAGGCTACTCTTGGTCAAGGTTGGCTAGGTATTGTCAAAGAAATGTTCCTTATGCCCAATAACTTGTACCGCATCTATCTCGGACTCTTCTCCCAGCTTCTGTCACAATGGTCTGGAGCTCAGAGTATCACTATTTACGCCCCTGAATTCTTTGCCCTCCTCGGCACCAAGGGTCAGAACGAAAAACTCTTCGCTACAGCGATTTTTGGAGTCGTCAAATTCGTAGCAGCAATCGTGTGTGCTCTTTTCCTCGTCGATGTTATTGGACGAAAGCGGTCTTTGGGCATCGGTATTACACTTCAAGCAGTTTCCATGGCCTACATAGCTGCCTACCTTACAGCAGTACCGCAGTTAGAAGAGGGAGAGGTATTTACAGCGTCACAAAAACACGCATCTACTGGAGCAATCGTCATGATCTATATCTCCGGTTTTGGATGGGCCATGGGATGGAATTCCATGCAATACCTTCTCAACGCCGAAATATACCCTCTCCGTATCCGTGCTATCTCCTCATCGATGGTGATGTGTTTCCACTTCGTGAACCAATACGGAAACTCACGCGCGGTCCCTAACATGCTTCTTCACAAGAGCGAGGGCGGATTTGGCCCCGCAGGAACTTTCTGGTTTTTTACTGTAATCACCATTCTTGGTGGTGCGTGGGCGTGGCTTTTCATTCCCGAGACTGCAGGTAGGAGTTTGGAGGGAATGGATCGTTTGTTCACACTTAGATGGTGGCAGATTGGTAGATATGGTCAGAAGGATGCTGGCGAGCAGGATCTTGCGCAAGCAAATATGGAGGCTGAGAAAGAAAATGCAAGAGAGACGGTCAACGAGATTGAGAGAGTCGACAAAGTTTAGTTGGAGGAGATACGTACGCTGCAAAAAGGTCTTGTTTCTGTTGACTTTCCGTGCATATCGTTGATTCGTTAAATGGCAAAGTGTTTTCTGGCATGTTGTAGATACAACTCCCATAGTTTCCTGGATGGGAAGGATGATCGATTACAGAATTCGAATAATTTCAGGGGCTGGTGAGAACGTATTCGGAGTCCAAGGAGTTGAGCTATTGGCTCCTGGGGTAACTCCATATACTCTACTTCCTTCTATATAAGAGCCATCCTAAAAAAACGATTTGTCACCCGTCTTATTCAGTCTGAGGTGGGAAAGAACCATGATTATGCTATGAGCATTTATATGTTATCCGCAAAGGAAGACTCCCAAAGATTGAATGACTACAACGACAAAACTTTGGGGCTCAATCTCATTCAACTTTCTTGAATTTAAGCCTATATACATTCAGAGAGATACCTGCTCAGGTTATGTGATTTTTCACCTCCTCCATTTCCTTCCTCTCCCCTTAATACACTTACCTAATTCTCAAGCGAGGATATGGTGGGTTGACTCTCAAAATTCCTTGGCTCTCAAGCACCTGCGTGATACTCTCTCTAAAATTTGTGGCACCATGATTTTCGATGCATTGTAATTATTGTATGAGCCCTCTGTACAGATTGTATTCACATCAAACCCGCTAAAGATGGTCCACGTGACAGAACAGAGCACGTGACTCGCCCCATCGGTTCCACGAGCTTCCATTCGCTTCGCGAAACTTCTCGAAGACTCCAGCATAATCAAGAAACCACAACACAATAATCAAGATGTTTCTAGGAATTATTCGTAACATCTTCAACCACCTAGATACTTCGAGAACCAACTCAGAATAATGTAAGCCATGATTGCTCATAGCGATTGCGTACTTTGCACTGCCTAGACTACTGTCTTGAAGGTGTATATATATTCCTCTTCCAACACCAAGAGCAATTCTTTCTTCATTCAGATTCAGATTCAGATAAACATCAGAGATCTTCTTCAAAGCCTTACACACTCTTCCAAACAACCTCAAGTCTCAAACCTTCAACTACAATTCCTAAAACAATCTCAAACAACTCACCTTCAACAACAACCAACATGCCTTTCTTCCCTCAAGCATACCTATCACCGGACATTGGATTCTTCCAGCTCCTATCCGAGTTAGATCAAGCCTCCCACCCTCAACACACGCAAAAGCAAGCACCAGGCTGCGCAACTCGCTGCCACCCACGCCAACAACAACATGAAGAGACCTTCACCCCTCGCTTCGACGTAACCGAAACTGCAACCAGCTATGAGATCTTCGGTGAACTCCCAGGTCTCGAACAAAAGGACTTGAACATCGAATTCACAGATGCACAAACAATCGCCATCAAGGGCAAGACAGTACGAGCTGGAACATCCATCCCTGAAGCAGAGACTGCACAAACACCAACCACACCCGTCGAAGCAGAGAAGGACAGCGAAACATCCTCTGTGAAGTCGCAGTCTGCAACCGTCGAGGATGACTACGATGAAGCCGACACCCCTCTTTCTCCTACACCAGCCACCACCGCTACCGTCGCTGCACCAGCAGAGAAGAAAGCCGAAGCCCCCAAGCCGAAATTCTGGGTCTCTGAACGCAAGGTTGGAAACTTTTCACGCAGCTTCTCTTTCTCTCACCGTATTGAACATGATGGTGTTCAGGCTTCTTTGAAGAATGGTATCTTGCACGTTGTTGTGCCGAAGGTTACGAAGTCTGGAAGGATCGCTGTTAATGTATATAAGACTCTCTGATGAAGGAATTGGAGTTTGGTGCTTTGGATGGATGGATGGATGGATGGATATGGGATTGGTATGATTGATTATAGGATGCATTAGTGGAGTTTGGTATTTTTGATAGATGAGTAATATGAGTTGTTTATTTTGAATATGTCTTTAGATTGCTATGAGTGACTTCCAATGTGAGACTGGGAGAATTGTGATTCCGTAGTACTACTATCGAAACAATATCATGGAATGTCTGGAGTGAAAGGGACACGCATCCAAGATTGTCTAACTTACACGTATGGCTCCCGCTACCTACTCGAGTAGTATACATCTCGTTAAAACATGATTCCTCTTCATCCCAACCACATAATAAAACCTGAAATCCTCCCCTCCATCACCCTCGGATTTCATTCCATCATTTATTAAAACACCCCCATGCAATGCAAAGTCCCCTTTGTACCATATCCCTTCTAATCATATTCGACGGCTTACTTCTAGTATTTACCTTGATCCACCTAATTCTATCCCCCCCTCTCCTCCTCCCAAACTAGTATTCCGTATTCTAATTTGCCTCTAGGAAATGATTTTTTGCGCTGGTTTATCTCTTATTTTTACTCTACGGCGAGGAGTGGAAAGATGATGTGTTTGTGGCCTTGGTGTGTGACATGAGACCCCTTATCTAAGACATGAGACGAAGTCTTAGCTTTAGCTACCTAAGGGTTTTAGGGGTATCCACAAGTAATATCCGAAGTATGGAACGATATGGAACACCCTATACCTATCGCTTATTACAACGATATAAGTCTTCTAAACGGAGGTGTCATTTATTTAGGACTACGAGTAGATACATTGCCCTGATTTAGAATCTGTGTGCATATAGACGTATAGAAACCAGAGCATGGAATTAGTACCAGTTCAGATACACTTTTAGGTATCGAAATGTGCTTAAGAAGAGCCACCGACTCAGAACCTGCATACTTGTTTAGATAGAGATAATAACGCTAGGCATTGTCTGTCGCTAATGCGGTGTCATTTGTTTTAACTATACGATACTTCTCTTGTCTTAACAAAGACTCCTATCTTAGATATACCCAAAGCCCTACGTGTAAAGAATAGCGAACGAGAGCTTTCATCCGCTTTTATGAAGATTCCGTACTAGAACTCTTGGGAATACGAGTATACTCATATAAATCCTCGCCAAAATTCGAATCTCTCTTTAACGCTTTAATACTAATATTCACCCCCTAAACATCCACATCTTGCTGCCGAAACTTTAAATTAAGCGAACCCCCACCCGTTGGTCTACTCCCTCACTCTTTGTTAGCTTACATCATATACCCAGTTAAAAGCCTCCAAATTAAGTGTTATAGTGTTTCGTTGCATATCGCAATTAACATACCAAAGCCTGAAGCCACAGGGCCTTAAGCCTGAAGGAACTCCCCAAGCCCCCAACTTTTATATTTGCTGAGCGGAAAATGGAGGTATTGGTAGCCAACAAGTAATATAGAAAACCCCAAAATAACTTCCACCACAGCAAGACCTCACTCATGTCCCTGGCTCAGTACGCTCCTCCGTCTAGGTTTATTTAAGCCTCTATATAGACTCTAATTATTATAATATTATTACCCTTTCATGCGCTTCCACCCAGCCCAAGAACGAAGAGCTCAAGTCCTTCGTATACATCTACATCAACCTGATACTATATATATATATCACACCACCCCGGCACCATCGAACAAACATCAGAGGCCGGTAGAGTGACCGAGTTCGAAGCATCGAATTCTAATTCTAAATCTCACAGCGGAGATATCCTCGCTGTGTCGTTGAGGAATGAGGAAGTGATAATGTTGTGTTGTATTGTGTTGTTCGTTAGATAAATACGGATTCGTGGTTAGGGCGTCGCACTGTCTCCTGTGGATCGGAGCTGGAGATGGAGCTAGATGAGCCGTGCTGGAGACTTGGTAGCAAAGTATCGCTATTACCTGCCCCAGAAGAAAGAGAAGAGAGCGGATCGCGATAATTCGGTTACCGTGCTACAGAGTATTGTCACCGGCCATGCACGAGGAATAGAGATTGACGTTGTTGATGGTTAGAGGAACTCTCATTCCAATTGGTTGGCGTAAAGATTATATCGCTTGTGGGAGTTTGGTTTTCGAGGAAGATATGTAGATAGTGAAAGCCTGATGTATTGAGATAACTCAGATATAGAATTGTTTCCGTGTAAAAAAGTATGACTGTCCTCGATATTAGAGCTCGAAAATCAAACCTATCACCACAACCTCGTCAACACGCGATCAACCAGCACCAAACCATACAGATCCAGAAGAGAGAAGAGTTCCCAACTTACCCACAACCCACCACACCACTAAACCCTCATACCCCCTCCTCCCTCCCCCGTAAAT